ATATATGTATATATTTATACATATATGTATATATTTATACATATATGTATATATTCTAAACAATATGTATATATTTCTTACTTTCTTATATATATATATATATATGTATATTATGCACAATCATATGTATCCGTACGTGTGCAAATATATATATACACCAAATCAGAAATGTACATGAACTGAACTGAACATATAAACTTACATACGCATATGTACCTACATATACTAAAATACTGTTTTTCTTACTGCGGGCCAGGCTTTTATCTTACTCATACTGCGTGCATTTCAGGAGCCACTGTCCGCTCATTGCAGTTCCTTTTTGCATCGCAGATGAAGTTACTGTATCTACAAACTGTGCTGCAAGGCTTCGACGTGGACTACAACCCGCAACTGACGTTACTCGAAATGCCGGAATTGACCACTGCCGTTCGTGTCTCAATACGGCACAACCCGTTGCTGACAGGGCCCCTCTACTTTGATAAGGTAGGTATATTAATATGTAAGTGTATGCGTTTAGGTACATATTGTTGATATGGTGACAGCATGTGAGAGTCTTCATCCTTACATTGTGTGTAGGTGTTTAGGAACATCCTCGTTGTTGTTTTTTGATGTGTAAGTGAATATATACCTTTTTAATGGAAATTGGGGTGGTATGTGTGAAAATCTTTATCCTTGCATTCCTTGCATTTTGTGTAGATGTCTAGGAAAGGCGCAACTGCGTTGATCTGCTGGTATATGTATACATTTTGTAAATATAATTGCGGTGAATAAGTGTGAGAAAAATTGTGTAATAGACTGCGATACATGCGTTTCCATTTTAGGCACTGATATATCCATACGCACACACACACCCAAACACATTTATATATATATATATATTTACTTACACTTGCACTTGCACTTTCACTTACTCTACACAAAAATGAACACATATTCATATACATACACAGGCATGCGTCGGTCTTAACTTTAAAAATCAACACTAACAATGTTTTTCTCGTGACAGGCGGATATCGGACCCCATTTCCACGTGTTTATAACAACTTTTCAGCCAGCACCATATCTTCTACCTTCGCTCGAATGAACATGTGAATATGTAATACATCTCACTCATATTGAATACACAATTCATCTAGCATATAATGAATGTACATGCATATATACTACTCGAATCAATGTATGTTAATTCCATCGAGGTCACACCACTCCTCCGCCCAACGTTCCTGTCTTTGTTGCCAGTCCCGTCCCTCCAGGAATCTATATTCTATTTCCAAATCTAGATCAATCTAATTCCACATCTTAAAAATCTGTCATCAGATTTGATTCGTCCAACCGCTATTATCATCTCCCGTATTGCATTGACCGGGTCACTCTGTGTTAACGTTCCACACCCCAGCTCACCGATGCCAGCATCCTAATCGATGGCAATGAGAAACTGGAAGGCGGGTTGGACTTCCCAGTGCTTACGACGTGTATTGTGTTACTGGTGCACAGCTGTCCCGTGACAAGTGTATCGGCCAACAGTCTTGCGCTCATGACCGAGTCCAGTATGGAGTACAACAGAGTATCCCTTATGCTGGAATATGTACTGTTGCAGAGGTGAGTACGCCTGTATGGATAGCTTAATCGGTTATATGGTCTATTCGTGTATGTCGGCTGGTGTTGTGTATTGTATTGCTGGTGCGTAGCTGTCCTGTGGCAAGTGTATCTGCCAACTATCTCGGGCCTCGTGGCTCAACTGAGTATCTCTACTGCTGTGGCAGCTACGTATCTGTTATGCTGTGTTGGCACATGCGCTATAGACTTGGGTGTGGGTGTGCATGTATCTATATGCCTATGCACACGCGTGTATATCGCCTGGTGACACAGTGATACCTCTTTCTTGTATCGCGATCACGGTGCTGCCCCCCTTCCTGTCATCCAGTCTCAAACGTCAGTGTTTTTTCAATGTATCCGCTCACTTGGCTTTGGCTGAGTGAAGTATGACCCCTTAAACCTCTGTGCACGCCCCCCCCCCCACTCAGTGACACAACCAGCAATTCGCTGATCTCGATCAAAGACACAATGGTGACGCAAGTGGCGTTTCATAGTCTCCTGAGTGGCAGTGATATCATTTTAGAAGGCAACAAGCTCTTGGACCAGCTTCAGTTTACGCAGTTGGTGAGTCTCACAGGGCAGCTCACGGTGGGCGACTGTAACCACTCGACGCTGTATCTGCCAGGTGGGTGTGTATAGGTGCATGCGATCAAATGGAATGATTGATGTCATTCGATGTGTCCATTGGTGTAGAATCACAGTGGGTTATCTCAGATGATATCTATCGGCGCTTGTGAGTTGATTGGGTTGGTTGATTCAAATCATCCGTGTATTGGTGCACTCGGTATGAATCAGTGCTTTTATCGGTTTAGTCGATTCAGAACTGCTGCACTTATGCACATACGACAGTGTTGAAACGTGCATGCGGTGGAATGTTTTTACATCAAATGCGCCAAGGAGACACATCTGGGTTGCAAGTTTACCCGCTCATACACACGCAAGGGTGTACAATGAGTACTGTGTAGCTTGAGGGGCTGAGTCTTTTTTCCCTCCATTAAACACCTGAAACCCTTGTAACCTAACATCCTGCATATACTTATTCTTATATTCCTTTCACCCCACCCCTTTCGCAGCGCTGTACTACGCCTCTAATATCACCGTCTTGCGCAATGTTCACATTGAGAATATCACGTTTCCAGGTATGTTTCGACCAGCGCTTGTTTGAGGTTTATCCCCGTGTGCTCGTTGTGATGTGTGTCAGATTTTTATAATCACTACTAAATTTGTCTCCCGGTCAGATCACTAGTAAATAGGCTATACTTTGCCAGCGACTAAATCCACCTGCAGCAACTCGATTGACTGGTACCTTCTATCGCAGTGTATGATACTAGCATTGCATTTTGTTAGATATATAAAGCATCCCGGTTCGTCCCGTTTTATTCCGATTCCATCCCTTACTTAGCCCTTGCTCCATCCCACACTTACAGAGCTCGCCGCCTTGAAGTCTCTAACTGTCGTAGGCAACCCAAAGCTGACAAACTTGTACCTACCCAAACTAACATTCTTTGAGGGGGAATCGTACGACGTGATAGTAATCATGAACGATAATCTCTGCTTGGACGAGTCCATGTTTGACGGTTTCACCAACGGCTCGTGTGTGGTTGCCAATCAGGAAATTTACAATTCAATAATTATTGACACGCTTTTGCCGAGTAATTCAACTTTTGCGCCGGATTGCGGCGGGGTGTGTTGTGATATGTCGATTGTATCGAATATTACGAACATATGCGAACTGGGAGATACAGATAATCTGAAGCAATGATTTTTTCAGTAAGGAAAAGGGTGGTGGGTGGAGAGGGGGAGAGTAGGAGATGGTGACCGATGTAGTGATGGCATAATGAAATATGAGTACGTATTTGCAAAGACGATATGTAACACTCAAGTAATATAAATTAGTTAATAAATAAATTCTAACCCCTACGTTATGTAGCTCCTATCCCAGTTCGATCTGTCTTCTGTACAATCTGATATGACTGCAAATCATTGATGAATTGCCGATCTATTGGGGTGTCCTTAATTATAGACGAAGGCGCAGCCGACTATCCAGTACGCAAGTGTCAACTAGCACACCCTCCTCTTATATCTGCCGGGGGGGGGGGGGTGTCTACCAACACGTAGGATTGTATAACCCAGCAGCACCATCCTAAAATTTCTACTCCACCGTCAACCACTCCAACCTATCATCCTGTGTTGATCACTCTCGGTGCGGTACATCCCCTGCACCAAACTCAAACAGATTCTTCACCCTCGGGCCTTGGGGCTCGGGCTTCACAGTTCACAGGTGGGCACTGGGTACTGGGGCGTGGACACTAGGCACTCAGTGACAGGTAAAGTCATATCAATAATATCAATAATATCAATAATATCATGAGTTGAACTCTCAGAGTGATATGTTTAGTATATAAATACTAAGTAAATACCATGACCCTCTAGTGATCAAAAATAAACCACAACGGACTAAAGTCCGTAGGAATAAATACCGTTTGTTAGACGAATGTATTTTTATTCTGGTGAATTTTTGGCGCGAAAATCGAAATACGAATTGTTCAGCGGATCAGGAGCTTCTGCTGCAATCGATGCCTGCATAGTTTTGCTAACAGAGCATTCTCGTGAACCGTTTGAAGCTTTGTCGGCACGCTCGTACAGCAGCGTATGCCGGAGCGAGTAATCCAAACGAATGCTCCGCACATAGATCAAACCTCATATAACTGCACCACTAGCACGGTAAGAAAAGGTGGATACACAACACGAGTACATCAAATAGATTATCGGGCTTGTTGTGAAAAGACAAGAGCAGTTGCGACACAAGAATTGAAAGCTGTACATTTACATGGTGGAGGCACACGAGTATGCGCTTATACAATCTCCACTTGTCTGCATCATCCCAAATGAACCGGGCACTCTATATGCGCGATCCTAAGAGCCTACATGACTAATGAGTTTCAAAAAGACATGCTCCACTAGCTTATTAGGGTTCCAATTTATTGCCACACAAATCAAGCACCGCCAAAAATCTGTGATGTGGCCCAGAAACCCGTACACGTGCTTTTACACGTGCTTCACGTTGCTGTCACACCAACGGCCCGTATATGATAACCCCCTGGGGTTTCTGAACACACGTGCAGGGTTGAAGTCGGCAGTCAGCCTTGCACGCACAGGCTGGAAGCACAAGAGTGTGATGGTGCCACCTAACAAAGCCCCTGCAACTACATCTGTCATGAAGGAATGGGTCGCAAGTGTGCCTCAATAATCGAATTAAGGCAGACAGCGAAAGAGATAAGTGTGTGCGGGCGTAAGAGGTGACAATGATGTTGCTTAATCCTGCCGTGATGTTAATGGTTGATTTAAGAATAGCATAATTCGGACAGATTATATTACTAGTGTCTACTTCACTATTTTGAAAATACAAAAGGAATCCACATGGTTGTCTTAAGGATCCTTTCAAGATGCTGCTAGTGGACACCAACTTAACTCCACCAACTCTGACTAACTATGCGCGACACAGATAAGTGTAATCGGCATGGTGGGTGTTTAGCGACCCCATATCCGCAACAGCACAGTCAAAGCGAGGTCATCAGCGACGAACGACAAACACTGGAGTATATGATACAGTCCACAAGTCCCAAATCGTCCTCATACACTTAGATCGTACTAATTGTAACCCTATCATCCATGTACGCACTTAAACTACATCGCATCGAGCTATAACTAGCTTAGCTGTATTAACCATCCTCAGTAAGGCATGATATCACACATCCGCGAAGAAGTGATTTTGCGTTCACGGGGGATTTATTGGCGCAAGCAACAATTGCAAAAAAAAATACAACATTGACAACCGAACCCAAATTCTGATGATATACACACCTCTCACCATGTGATGGTAAACATGCTCAATCTCCAACCACTGACACACTTGCGATTTTAAACTTATAAGTAGGTAAGCATAACATTGGAACGTACCATGTGCGTGATGCCTATTATCCCATATCCGCGACAAACCCACTGTCCATGCGATGGCCATGGGTAAAAACGACAGAGACAGCAGCACTTGATCTAGCCAGCGATTTTTACACTGGCAAGCTATGTGCAGCCATTGAACACTAAGCCACATTCCGAATCCAATAGCGGTACTTGTGTGACCACTGGGAAAGGATAAGCGTGCGCCGTTGATATGGTCGAGATCGTCGGCCGTGCAGGCGCTGTTCCCAGCGACACCTAAGTAGATGGTTGGGTCGTACGTATCTGGGACGCCATCGTAGCACCTAGAGGTGCAGCCGAATTAAGTCCGGAGACTGAGAAACGAAGCTAAATACAAAACAATTCGAAATGAAATAAATCTTACTACAAGGTATGTATTTGAGATACGACGTGTTCTTCGTGATGCTATCAGGTGTTTTGGTGATCTGCGTGATCTTTGCACCGTAAGAGTTAAGGGATATTAAAGTATTTGGCTGTGGTGCAACAAGAGCGACGTACTATAATTCAATCGAAACGAGGATTAAAAAAAGAACCGTATCTGTATGGTGTTAAACAATGTGTAGGAAGTGATATATGCGATTACTGCCGTCAAAAACTGACCTGCCCGCTTACAAATTATCAGTGAGGGCCAAGTTCGGCGCCGCATGGAAGTAGTTCTGTGTGTACACGTGGATATACATTTGTGCATATCAGCGAAGCGTAATATCGAATCGAAATAACATGCATCTAACTGCGTATCTAACTGCGTAAATACATGTGGACATACAGACAACAAAGTATCTTCAACAAGCAACACGTACCCAATATATATGTAATCAAACACTGATAGATCACATATATAATACATAGTTTTTCAGTTGATCACGAACTACCTCACCTCGACATGAAGTCCGGCCTAAGCTCTCCAACGGCCAACTTTGTCGTTTCCGTGAAGAAATACACCCACGCAAACGTACAGACGTAGCACAGGTACATGCGAGCTGCTGCAAACGGCGCACGAACAGATCGTCCTTGATGGAGGTACTCGGTCAGTGCAGCTAGACCGCCGCCTAAAACTAAACCAAATACGAGTACAGCGTAGTAGGGGATGGTATCTTCTTCGTGGGGTAGCCAGATAGATGTATCATTGAGGATCACGGGTCTGGGTTCGGGGCAATATAACAGTTGGGACTGCAGTGTAAGAAGTTTGCAGTTGACGTTTGGCCTTCTGGGAACTTGCACCGATGAGAGTGATAGCATGACAGCCACATCTGGTGCCAACGTTAAGCAGCACTCCGATATGCATACGATGGGTTGCACATACACAGATGTTATAATACACGCTAAAGCTAAAGCAGATCGGATCATATACTGAATTATGATGGAGAGTACCGAGTCTCGCGCTTCGATACAACGGAATTCGGATACCAGCGTAAAATTAAAACGTATACAGGGATATCAGGTCTACAAATCAGCATACCTACATGCGCGCGTGTGCACGCAGCTAGTAGTTCTGCAACTACTTATTTTTGTATAGCACATGCATGATTGGAAAAAGACTTACAGATGGAACTAACGATGTTCTAGTTTGTATCTGTCCGGAATTGGTCCTGCATACCTATTTCGAGGCCCAGTAGTCGCTTTGACCACAACGATTATCAAAGCCACTGCAAAACTGACAGTAAAGAAGACCCACTCGAACTCAATCAGTTCAGCAAACCACCGCCTCTTCTTCAAGTCTTCGCACTCCGCATTTAAATCACTTGTCGAGGACAGATTAGAGCCGTGCGTTGTCCTTGTGACCTCGTCTCCGTGGGCCGATACAGACTTTGTTGTGATAGGAACGGAGGTACTATCATGCAGAGACGCAGACTCAACTTTACCGGTGGGATCACTTTCAGCGCGGTTGTCAACCTGTGCATAGGGATGAAAGATAAGTTAAAAAACAGAACAATGTAACTCTAGCTATTGTATGTCTCAAAAGGGTCGTGATGCGTACTGAAGGGTGGATTGAAGCGACTTCAGGCCTCGATACGACCGCATCACGAGAAAAAGGTTAGACTGGGTTGTGCCTAAATGTATGGATCTGACATACTGTGAAGGACTTGGTGTACATGTAAAACCCATGCTTGCCTACTAAGATGAGTACATAGAGTGACCCAGCCCACTGTGGAAAAAAACAAAGACACGTGAATTCCTCACCAGCATGTCAGGTTCATGCAATAAGTCACAGATAAGTACAACACAGCTTTATGTTGAGACCGCTAACATGGCTACAATGTGGTACAAGGTACTACATATAGCAGGATTTCATTTCTTTTCAACTACAACCAAGTACAGCCCGGTTCTGATGCCCATATAGCAATATTAAACATTTTCTATTCTACGACATGTCCCATCAGCTGTATGTAGGAGAGTTACTGGCAACAGCAAAAGATAACAAAATGATCCACTTTTATCAATATACCAAAATTCAGATAGTAAAACAAGTACATTGTCGCTAATAAGGGCAGGACAGATAAATTCAAATTCGAGGTTCAATAAATCTAACAACACATAAACACTCACACACACACAAAAAAACACACACACCCACACACCCACACCCACACACACACACCCACACACGCATATAGATCGAGCATATTTAAACAGAGATATATATACATACATAAAGACACACATACACAAACACACACA